TTGGGGATCAAGTTGCAGAATCTTAGTTTTTTTAACTCCATTTGCAGTTGGATTACGGCTAACCCTTGTGTGGCCCAAAGAATTAATGACCATTTAAAGGTTGTGCGAGGCTGTACCCGTATTAGTGGTTGCCTTACTTACGTATAAGATTTGAGTTTTACTTCTATGAAATTTGTGGCTTTGAAAGAAATGGCCAGATAAAGACTTGTTGGAAAAACTGTTGGTTCAATTAAATTAAGATTTTGATTTATAAAACGATATAATACAATTAAACGTACTTCTTTTTGTCATCTAAATATTACAATAGCAATTTTTTTTTGTAATATATAGTAAAAAATTTTAAATTTAAATGTATAATATATAGGTGGGATAAGTTAAAAAATGAGAGAGAATTACTTTTTATTGTATAATTTAAAAATAAAAAAAATACTCTATCAAAAAATATGGAATGAAAATGACCCTTAAAGGAGTAAAACTTTAATGTAAATATTTATCTAAATAGTATTTTAATTAAATAAAACTACTCATTAAAAACCCATGTTAGTTATAAGTTGTTTTTAATAAAATAAGAGTTGTTTATTTTTTAATGTTATCTACTTTAGAGCATAGAACATGAATGATTGAATATCAGAATACTCATGGTATCAATGTTAACTTTTTAGTTAACAATTTTAGTTATATAAGAAGACTAGCATAATATTTTTAATAAAGTAATAAATTTTAAAATAAGATCATAAAAAAAGGTTTAAGCCGCTAACCACTTAAATATTTCGATGAAAAAAATATAATAAAAAGTTTTAGATTTTATGTTGTTATTAATTATTTAGGTGCGGATTTTTAAGAATTAAAACTCTATTTGTTATTGTCAATTTTTTTACTGAAGTGGTACTATAAAATTTCCTTTTGTCTGTATCGAATAAAAAGGAGAGATCTTTTTATCTCAAGAACTAATGAACTATTCAAGCTCATGTTTCTCGGCTTAGAAAGCACCATGCATGTGCTCCTAATTTGAATGCGTCTTCCTTTCTGAACACGTCCACGTGCGTGTTAAAGTAAAATGCTCGTAATTAAGTTTCATATACCTTCAGCTCTGATAAGAAGAAATAATTTATCTTAATTATATGATAATCATGTTTTTCATATTACAAAACATGAATTGACCTGCTTCATTCTAACAATTTAAGTTATACATTTCAATATAAATTAGAATGTATCAGTGAAGAGCTTGAACAAAATATTTAGGGGGCCAAAATTTTTTTTTATATAACCTACAAATATAAATATATAATATACCTAATATATAATTTCACTCACTAATCATAATCTACCAAAACTTATTAGAAATTAAAGGAAAAAAAAATCATTGTATGCAACATATATTCAAATATAAAATAATATAAACTATACCATACATTTCTATTATATATTTATATGTAATGAAATCTCTAGCTATCCATAACATTTCTTCTTTTCCTTTCTCCCATTTCTGATTTTTTCCTGTCATTTTCTTGAATTTGGCGTGTCAATTATACAATTTAGAGAGATTTTGTGGCCATTTTACTTAAGGTTTGAATTTATAGTTGATTGGTCTATTACCTTGAGCATATTTCTTAAAGGTATTTACTCTTTTTTGAATTTTGTTTTAATAAATAAAGGAAAAAGCTAACCATTTTTTTTTTAAAAAAAAAATTGAAATTTCAACTCATAACATTTCAAATCTCTAGCTATCCATAACATTTCTTCTTTTCCTTTCTCCCATTTCTGATTTTTTCCTGTCATTTTCTTGAATTTTGCATGTGAATTATAAATTTGAGAGATTTTGTTGCCATTTTGGTCAAAGCTTGAATTTATAGTTGATTGGTCTATTGCCTTGAGCATATATCTTAAATGTATTTACTCTTTTTGAGTTTTTTTTTTAATAAATAAAGGAAAAAGCTAACCATTAATTCTTTGAAAAAAATTTGAATTTTCAACTCATAATTGCAAAAGTAGGGTACTTAAATGGTAATTTATGTAAACTTTAATCTTTTAACTTACATTATTATATATTATGCAAGAGTAATCTTCAAATTATCAAAGATTTGAAAAAAAGACAAAGCAAAAAGTACGGTTAGAATTAGGGTTTTTGTTAACGAGTATTTTAATGTTTTTTAAAAATAACTAGAGTGTATATTAATTTTTTTTTTCCAAAAGCTTAGGGGGGCCATGGCCCCCCAGCCCCACTTATCATCCTTCCCTGGGATGTATAATATTTTTTTTTTATAATTATATTGTTACAAAATTAATTAATTATCTATTTGATTTGAGAGAAAGGTAAGGGAGGAAAATGGAAGGAAATTCTCGCTTAAAACACAATTATTATTTATTGAATTTTCATATTTAGCCTAATTAAGAATAGAAGTTGAAAATGTGAGATGTATTTAAAATGGAGTAATCATTAATTAGAGTAAAATTAAAAAAAAAAGACTTTAATTTAAAAAGTAAATTAGAGCATATTAGAGCACTTCTTTACTTCCTTTAAAAAAATAAAAAATTCCTATAACAAGTAAAATGGATTTTGGGTACAAGTTTGTTTAATTATTTAAAATAAATATTCTGACTGTTACTTACTTGAACCGGAAAGTTATCGTCAATTAATTTAGCAATGTAGAATATAAAATTTAAGGTCAAATTCCGAATCTCATGCAACAGCCGGAAAAATTAATTAATGCATTAAAGTCAGATCTCCAATGTGCTACGCCGCTAGCTACCGAGAGGGGACAAAAAGTGCTGAAACGGATGAGGAAAGCAAGAATGCAAGATACAGCGAATTTTGAGCTGTAACTAGTTTTCTGTGCGTAAAGTTTGCAAGAAAATGTCCAAACCCATTTGACCTAATAAGAGGTTGAGAAAGTTTCAAAGGAAAATGAAATGAAATGACGTGTGTGCATATGCAAAACTAATAAAGATCGATTTTCTTAATAATAAACTAAGGTCTTAAGACTTATTTTAGTAATAATAAAGGTGGTATGTATTACGGTAAAGAAACAAAATACGTGGAGCGGTTGAGGTTTGGAAGCATAGTTTGCTTTTGGAATTATTTTTTTAGGACGTAGATAATAAATCTTATAATAATATTAAGGAAGGTGAAAATTTAAAATAAAAATTTAAAATCAATAATGTGTCTTATATTGCGTCATTAAATTGATTGATATATATAATATCATAAGTTTTAAAAAATAAAAAGATTTAATTATTAAATAATATAAAATTAACATTTTAATATTTTAAATAACGTGACTTATGTTACATTATTAACCTCATATCATGATTTCAAAATTTAATCTTATTTATTATTATTCTAAACCATATAATAAAATATCTCTTTAATTTCCTACATTCATAAAAATTTAAACTTAAAATCTTTAAAATTTTATCCACTCGAGACTACTATTAAAGATAGTTTGTTTTTGAAATTGAATACACGAAACAAGAGACCACTATTAAAGATTTTTTTACTTATATTTTGTGTATATATTAAAAGTGTATTTATTATATATTTTTATTATTAATTTTTGTAAAAATATAAAAAAAAATTAATTTTAATTTTAATAATTATTTAATTAAAATATTTCAAATAATATTAATGTTAAAAATAAAATTTATTCTCATAATTTTTTTCTATAAATTAATGAAAAAAATTTAATAAATGCACATTTTACTAAAATGAAGTGGTTACTTTATCCTGTGGGAGTTAATTGCGGGAATTTAAAGCTCTTGGTTTCAGTAAATAAAATTTCTAGAAGAACATCAATTTATTAACATTTTCCTTCGAAGACATGATGTTACAAATATCTATATTTTTTATTGATAAGAAGATAACGTATGTCGTGACGTTTTGAACCTGTTTGACATCACTTCAAAAAAAAAAAAAAACTATTAAGTGTTAATTAGTATTAAAATCACCCATGCTTAAAAGTACTTCATCGTTGCACTAGATATTTAAAATAAAAATCCGAACCAACTGCGAAGTAATGACCTGTCTTATAATATGTATTAACCACTATAAAATTAACAATTATGCAAACGAACAGAAAAGATTATAATGCCAGGGGAGTTTAGGTGGATAATACTATTTGTCTATTAACAGAACCCTTTTCCTATTTGGAATGATTTGGACCTAAGTCACCTAACAATGGCTAACGAGTACTTGTTAAAAATGATAGAATTAACTAATTAATACTTGTTAATAAAGTGTTATACTATTTAATTTGCATGAAACTACATAATGTTAGGTATTAATTAATGGATAATAACTTCCGAATATGGGGCCATCGTTCCCTAATCGATGATAATTTTTTTTTTTTAAAAAAAAAACCTTCGCTGATAATTGATGAAAATCATATATTATTTAAGCTGAATTAGTTATAGGATTAGTATCAAGGTTCTTTAAGAAGAATGGTAGTTTAGTAAGTAACTCAATTTATCAGTCATTTTATTAATTAAAGTTTAATTGAATGAAAATTTAATTCACAAATGAACTTATTAAAAAAGAATAATAGTCTAGTAAATAACTCAATTTACTAGTCATTTTATTGATTAAAGCTTGATTGAATGAAAAGTTAATTCATAATGAACTTATTAAAGAAGAGACTTTAATTTAATATCGTTTACAAAAATTGCCCTCATGTATGATCCTTACTTGACAATTAAATATAAACAAAATTAATTTCAACGATTCTAGATCTTTGTAACTAATTTTGTGGATTATTGAATAGTGATAGTTTAATTATATAATGCTGGATAATTAAAATTAACTTAACCATTATTAGAAATAATTAAATAGTTATACAATTTGAACTTGGCCTTGCTATACATATGATCATTTCTTTGTTGAAAGCTTGTTGTGCATATCCCGCAATAATCTTTGATGAATTGAATTAATAAACACTCCTAAAATAAAATAATATGACAAAATAATACGAATAATAACCTATATATAATTTCAACGCGTTGTGCTCAAGATCTTGACTATGGAAAGAGGATATAGCAATACAATTGCCCATTCGGACAACACGTATGTCTCCACTTGTTTATATGGTTGTTTCTGTTATGGAGAAATAGGAATTTGAGAATATATTTAAAGGGCAAAAAATCATTAGAGATGATGATAGATATAGTACCCATATCTCTACTCTCCCATTCGAGAAGATCTTCCACATCACTAGAGCATAATGTCAAACAGGTAATGAGTTAGTGAGAGTTTTAACATTTTAATTGCAGTTAGATACTTTGAATGAGTCATAATAACCATACATACGTTCCTGCCACCTCCAGTCAATTCAACGTATATAATTCGAATAATGTATGGGCTCTGTTGCCCACAACCTAAATGGTGGGTTGTTCCTTTCAATTGCACCTTCCATTATTGTAGCAATGAAAATAACTCCTTAATAAATCAAGCAAGTTAGCAATTAGGGGCGAAACCAGGAAGTGATTCGGGGTAAGGCTTTTTTCAACACCCACCTTTTGTTTGTCTCTTGAAAAGAAATCCAGTGTAGGGGCCTAGAGCCGCCCTTTTTTTCTAATCAATTTGTAGGCCCAGCACAAACCCCGAACATTTGACAATGGTATTCCTCACAGCTAAACAGATTTTTGTCCGTCTTCCTCCGCATCACCTTGTCGTCCCCCACCAGCTCCACCAAATGGCACATGCACTTCCGACCATCCTCCACCTCGATTTGCACTGATCAAATATTGTCTCCCTTACATTCAGTCTCTTTTGTCCGTCGAGTTCACTTTCCACCACCCTCTCACACTCCCCAACGGGGAAAAAAAACCATTCACAAACGAAAATTTAACACCATATACATTTTAGTGTACTATCCAAAATTATTCGGTATTAATTACGAATCTCAATGGACAGAACACAAGGAAAACTATAATGCATGGTGTCAAAACATGGGTACGTCACAACATCGTGAGCCATCATGGTAGATCGAACCTTTAATTCAAGACATATGGATTGATAGTAATGCCTTTTTTACAATTACAATATATATGGTCCAGAGGGCGGCACACAAGATCCAAAGTTCTATGATACTACAAAGGAAAACGTCCACACTCCTTAACACTGTCAATGAGCGCCCCCAGCCAGGGATATGCCAATAGTACTTTGTAACGAACTTATGCATATCAATGAATTGAACTGAACTTGGTAAGAAAAAAACAAAATATTATATGCTATTGATGTGTATTATTGACAGATTAAATGAGATCACTCCACTCATCAAATTCACCTCCTTCATTATGTGGTCTGAATGTGGCAATAACTCTCAAAGCCCAAAGAAATAATGGATGGAAAATGCATCATGATGGGATATAAACCAAACCCTCTCGTTCTTTCAATTGAGCATCCTCTTTTTCTCCTTTTGTCTTGAGATTTGACATAATTTAAGGCTGGCACATGACTACTTTGAATCCTGGTCTGGTCTAGTCCAGTTAAGAACCCATTATTTAGTGGGTCTCAACATGCAGAAGCATGCTCGCTTCCCAAAAGCCCCTGTATATGGTTAAACAGTATCCAAGGCAGTCCTTCCCAAACAATCATACATGTGGAAGAACGATTTTGTGATTAAGGCTGCTTTTTTATTCTTACTTTTGCAGACTGTTGATGGTTGGTGGTGGTGGTGGTGGTAGCTGTGACCAATGAGTGATGTTTATCAAAGCATGCATTTACTTTCCCCTAATTTATATGGGAAATGATAAATTTCACAGACAATGCTCTAAATCTTTCCATTGTTCTACTCTGGCCCTTGTTTTAAATGATCTCATCGGGTTTCAATGCTCGGTCCATTATTAGTTATTACCATTTATACCATGATCATCTTGAGCATAGCGCTCTGAGTCAAGGACGTATATTCAAACTATTAAGAGCTAGATGACTTGATTGAAACAATCATTAAAAGGTAAGGACCATTTGTACTAAATTTATTCCCTTCGTGAATCAAATTCCAAATATCAGAGTTTTCCAGGGATAGGAGAATACTGTGGGGTAAAGGCGGAAGGGTATGTTGCAGCAAATTCGGAAAATGGAAAGTTAAAGCAACGGTGGAGGTTTATGTGGATCTGCTTTTGCATATCGATGGCGATCGAAGAAGGTCTAGTCTTGTCCGATTTCTTTCTTTCTTTCTTTCGGTAGCAGGAAAAAGGGACCCCGCCAATGCGCACATATATCGCCACTTTTACTACGTACTGGAATTGGATTGCAGCACCACCGTTCGTTCTCCTCCAAGATCAATGCTAAAACCAGCTCCACCAAAAGCAATGGATACTGGCCGCTAGTCATACGCTATTTCCTTATCCAAGAGAAATTCTTTCATTCAACGCTTGGTATCTTGGTATCTTGGTATCACCGTCCATTAATACAGTGATACATCAGCACATGTGGCTTCTGTAATATTGTAGCGTAATCATTAGTATGGCAGTAATACTAATTGCATATGTAAAAAACAAAATTATATGATAGTTTTGCCCTTGTCAATGAAGTTCCTTACCAGTTTACCAGCTTGACTGGACTTTCAAGCAATGAAACCTAAGATAGCTATGTAATTATTGTTAGTACAGTAGTACTCACTGTGATGACAGTGATGCTGCTTTAACTACTGCATTGTTTACCGAAGGATAATGTAATGCTCTGCTTGGAAGTTGGAGCTTCTTACACAGTTACAGGACCTCCCACTAAGCTTTATTTTGTTGCTTTTAGTCCATAACACACTCCCATCCTTAAAAGCACTTTTGGATGCTTAATGGGAGTACATAAAGGAAATTACAGGTCACTTTATGGATAATATTCTCAAGAATATCAGTTTTCTTTAGATATTTTGGAGATTTTTTTAACATGTAGGCTCACTCTTGTTTTTAGATTGGAAGAAAATCATTTCAAAATCATTCACCTAATTTTTTTCAATTCAAACACGTAAAAAAAATAAAATAATTAATTTCATAGTAAAAGAGATTTAATTAATTCATTATATGTTAGACAACTTTATTAGTGACATCAATCAAGCTTTGGTGACTAAGCCATACTCGCAACAAACAGACATGATAATTATAAGATTAACATGTTAGAACCCCAGAGTATATAAGTGATAAAGACATTGGAAAATATATGGAGAAAAGTATCAAAAAACAGTGAAAAATAACATGAAGTGAGATGTCACCAGTACTCACCACAACATCTCATCATTTTCCCTCATAAAATTCTCCACAAAGAGCAAAAAGATTTGTAGAGGACAAATGTTCGATCATAAACAAAACTCATATTGGTTTTATATATATCAACCAAACCAAGTGGCGTTTGTCGGGTTCCCGGGGTTTCCGGCTAAATGGAAATGGACTGCTTGTCACTTGAGAAAAACGATGGATATCCATAGAAAATTAACAAATGTGACTAACTACTAAGGTCATCCCCTTTTATGCTTAATTATATCATGAAGGTGTTGAAAGGTTTTGTTTTTTGTTTTTTGTTTTTTGTTTTTTTTTTTTTGTGTGTAAGGTGGATGATGAGGATACAACTTCCGTGTGGTTCTTTTCGTGCGTGCTTCTATTGAGTATGCTTCATTCTTAGAAATGCTAGTACTGGTGTGCTTGAGGCAACGGCCATGGCCATGGATGTTGCATGCCGAAGGCTGCTTGATATAAGTCCTTGCTCAAATGCATAATATATATTTCTACACATATATATACAGTGAAAATATCAACTCCCTCCTTTGTATACTAATTTCCAAGAATTCCGTCCTACGCACGTCTTTGAAAGTTTTACTTCTACCCAATAAATTTATTACTTCAATCATAGCTAGGCCTTTATTATAAGACGAAGAAATAGTTAAAAATGGTTTTAATTAAAAAAATTTGTGTTGTTCTTTTAGAATAGAGAAGCTTTTTCAAAAAAAAGGGCTAAATGGACAAATTGACGAGTTGGATAATGTGAGATAGAAGCAAATATGTGTAAAAAAAAAAAAAATTACAAAATATAAAATTTTGATTTTTGGGGGCTTCTTCACATTTGGTATATTTGTAAGTAACGATGCAAATATGCTCTATCATTAAAAAATACAAAATACAAAAGCTAAAGTACTTAAATAAAAATTCTATAGATTTGAACTTTACCAAGCATTATAACTCCTTACTTCCTTTCCTTCACATGTTACATATATATAAAATTTAAATCTAAATACCGTATTTCTAAAAAAAGTTCATTACTAACACCTTAAATTGTTGAATTCATTAACTCCCTTTTTTTTAAACTCCAAATCATGTTGTTGGATGCGTATATATTTTTTTAACAATGCTTGAATTTTTTGAATAACCTAAGAGTTGAATTCATTAATAATAAGTGTTCTCTTGTAAAATATATTTAAAAATCAAAATTTTAGGTTATTGCATAAAAAACAAATTTTAAATGCACTAAATTGATGTAAGGGTGCGTCCTTAATTATCAGAGAATGAATTAATTTTAAAATATATAAAAATTAGTCTAGAAACACTGTAAATAAAAAAAAAAAAA